TTGTTAAGACTGTAGAATGGAAGAGGGACGGTTTTGGGTTTAAAGTGTATACTTTAGAGGAAAGAGAGCTCAATTGCCAACAGAAGAAAAAACCATAAGAACCCATAAATTTTAAGTTCTATTTCAAGTTTCCTGGAGTGTTCGTTTTCAGTGAGTTGAGGCAGTGTATTGATCGAAGATTAAAGAATCATAGGAATCAATGGGAATAAAAATCAATCATTGACAATTAACAAGTTCCCCACAATTCTTTGGCTCAAACTCCTAAAGTATATTAACCCATTGGGCCTAAATAAACTCATAATTATTAAATATTTTCAGGAGAGTTTTCACACGGTCATTGTCCAATTCAAAATGAACCAACTGAAGATACCTCTTTCTCTGGGATAAAATAGTCTGTCCTGCTAATTGTTAGCTGTTAGATTTCTCTCATTTTTCTCTTTGCCTTATTGTTTTTTCTTGCCCAGATCCTTTTCATGAAGTGAAGAGAAAAAGAGACCGGAAGAAAGAGGTATTGTTTACATTTATTCTGTCCATCACTCTTCTTTCTTTAGCCAAGGTTGGAAGTTGAGTTTCTTTTTCAATATCTCTTGTGGATATATGATGTTGATATTTTTTTCCATAATGATGGTTAGTTCTTGATTTGAAGTTTGTGTTTGTTTGGATAGTTTTGACTTTTTTGAGTGTCTTACTCTATGAAGCCTTAGTTGTGCTGATATTGCCATTGTTGACAATAACACGTTTCAGTATGTATGTGAACTTGGAAGCTTTAGTTGGATGAATTTACATTGCTAGTAGTGTCCTTGGGTACAAATCGTTGGAGTAGTTGAAGGTTGTGAATTTGTTCCTGCTTGGTGATCTTATTTTAATGTCATGTACAACAGATTTTAAAGTTAATCACCTGATTTGATATTTGATAATGATAGAGTGTGGGGTACAGAGGTTCGGTGGATCCAGGAAAGCAATCAGAGAATGTTGTTCAGGTGATGAAATTTCGTGCATTTCCTGATCGTGGTACTCGAAGGGGAGGCTATACTCGGAATCGTTTGCGCGGTACACGTTTATTGATTTTCAATCAATTTCCCTTTTACTTCAATGCTTGATTGATGTGTCTATAAGCAAATGACTATTAGCAAAGGTATCTAATTAAAAGATGCGTATGTGTATGTAGTTGCTTTGTGTGGTCCATTTAATTCTCTTAAATGGTTATCTACCTTCTTTAATGTTGTCAGCTGATGATTGACTATTTATTGCAATGCATTTTTTACCCTTCTGTAATTTGAATGATAGTTCTATCCTAGATGCAGGAATCAGCAGAGAGTTCCGTGTTGTGAGGGATAATAGACTGAACCAAAATATAAACAAAGAAACAAAGCCTCCTTTACCAGAGTCTTTAACTTCCACCAGTGAGCAAGTGGTTGTTAATGTTACTGAAAAGGGGTATGTTCATATGGGATCCTTATTTATATTACTGTTTTATCTAAACTTTATTTCTAATCTTTTTCCCCTGCATCCCTGGCATTGTACTCATGGTTGTTCAATTTCTGCATGATAATTGTCTCTCTAAACCTTTCTGGCAGTTCAATGGGAAATGCGAGCAATCAAAGACCCTCCTCTGGTTCGACAAGTTCATCTCAAGCCTCTAATGCATATCCCAATTCACAACCTAGACATGCTCGGGATGCAAATTCAAATGGTACTGCTAGAAAAGAAGTACTGGATGAAAAGGGTGCTGTGATCTCTAATACGTCTTCATGGTCACAAGCAGTGAAGCCCAAAAATTTTCAATCAAATTCTGCTGCACAATCATCTAGTAGTTCTGTTGTTGGGGTTTATTCCTCTTCTACAGATCCTGTTCATGTGCCTTCTCCTGAATCAAGATCATCTGGTGCTGTTGGAGCCATAAAGCGTGAAGTTGGAGTTGTGGGTGTACGCCGTCAACTTTCTCAAAATGCTGTCAAAGATTCTACTGTATCAAGTAGTTCTCTCTCTAATTCTCTAGGAGGAGACAATTCTTCAGAGTCATTCCGACATTTTGCAACAACTTCTAAGGCAGACCAACTTGGTCATACTACCACAACTGAACCTGTCGTGCCCAGCATTTCCGGAAACAGATCATTCTTAAGCAACCATTATGGGAACAGGCCACATCAACAAGTTGTAGGTCATCAGAAGGGTACCCATCATAAAATAGAGTGGAAACCAAAAACAAACCAAAAATCAATTACCAATGGTCCTGGAGTCATTGGAACACCCAAAAAGTCTACATCACCTCCTGCCAATAATGCCAAGGACTTGAAGGCGGAAACATCAAAAATACAAGATAAGCTTTCTCAAGTGAACATACATGAGGATGCTAGTGTAATCATAGCACAGCATATTCGAGTGCCAGAGAATGATCGCTGTCAACTGACTTTTGGAAGCTTTGGTGTGGAGTTAGATTCTTCAAGGAGTTGTGGACCTGGATTCCAGGGCATTGGTGTTGCTGAAGAAACAAATGGTGAATCTGCTTCTAGGTTTGTGTTTTCTTTTTATTAACTGTTTACATTTGGTATGGTCATAAAGGCTAAAATTTTATATAAATTAGAACCTTAATGAAGTGTTGTTGAAATACGCACTACAAAATTGATAAAAAAATCGCAATTCTTTTATTTATTAGCGTAAGGCAAGAATTATGTTTGTCTGCAAGGGCATCCATATTTCATTTGGTATAATATTAAGACTTGTGGGGAAACCTGCTTAAATTTTGTGTAGAAGTAACTATTTCTAATTAATCTATTGTACTAAAACCTAGGGCTATGCACTAGATAACATTTTGCTGTTTGTAATTTCATCTAAGCAGTCTGTCGAGTTCTGCTCTGGATACTTCCAGCGATGATGCTGCTGGTAGCAAGCCAGTAGATGGTCTTGATGATCAAGTTAGAAATTCTGGATCAGGTTCTCCAGCATCAGATGCTGCTTCTGAGCATCATTTGCTTGATAAAAGGGACAGTTCCAGTCCTCAGAATTTAGATAGTTATGCAGATATTGGATTGGTCCAAGACAACAGTCCATCCTATGCTCCACCAGGGTCACAACAGCAGCAAGATCCTTCTGAGTTACCCAGTTTTCCTGTGAGTTCGGTTTTCAGAATATTGATACTTCCATTCATGTTCTAAATTCAAATCTTTGGTCATGACTAAATGAGTTTTGATGGCATGTTTTAGTTAGTGAATGAACTTTCAAGACTTATTGTTGTTCTAGTAATTGGCTAAGATGTTTTTCTTCATTCTTCTTACCCACCATCTTTATTTCCCATTTTTGCTCCCTGATGGATTGTTCTTGCTTTTCTTTGCTGGCAGGCATATGATCCCCAAACTGGGTATGATATACCATATTTCAGACCCACCATGGATGAGACTGCAAGAGGACAGGGTCTGCCATCTTCTCAGGAGGTAAGGAATCTCCTCCCACAGAGGCAAACATCTGCTTGTCTGCTGTCTTGCAGAATTCATGTCGCTGTGGGTACTTAGCATTATCAATTTTACTGGTGATTGCAGGCTTTAAATTCACATTGTGCCAACAGCATTTCTGCATCCACAATAGCAATGGTACAACAGCAGCAACCACAAGTAGCCCAGATGTATCCTCAAGTTCACGTTTCCCATTTTCCTAATATGATGCCATATCGACAATTTCTCTCTCCAGTTTATGTACCACAGATGGCCATGCCTGGATATTCCAGCAACCCTGCCTATGCACATCCATCCAATGGCAGCAGTTACTTGCTGATGCCTGGAGGTAGTTCTCATCTCAGCGGAAATGGCCTAAAGTACGGTATTCAGCAGTTTAAGCCAGTTCCTGCTGGCAGTCCCACTGGGTTTGGCAGTTTTACCAGTCCAACTGGATATGCCATCAATACTCCTGGTGTGGGTGGGAATGCAAATGGGCTTGAAGATTCATCTCGGATTAAGTATAAAGATAACAATATCTATGTTCCAAATCAACAGGTAACTGCATATTCTTCCCACTTTACCATTAGGGGTTAGGTATTGAAGTCTGTCATTGGTTTATCAAATAGAAATTTTTTACTGAAGAAAAGAGAAATGTTGTATTTTAGATTTTACGAAGGAACAACTTAGATTGCCTACTTTTGACATTTTCCTCCTTTATGAGGTGAGGACAGGAAGACTAGGTTTTGGAGCATGTTGATTATTTTCATACTAAGACTCTTTACTCAAAATGCATTTGATTATGTACAATGAGTTTTGTATGAGTCTGCTGTTTTTATTTGGATTATATGTGCTTTAGTCCTTCTGTACTTGCATGTGTTTTTGTTCACCGGAAATTTGAATTACTAATATGCTTTTGATTGTACTTTGACAGGCTGATGCATCTGACCTCTGGATTCAAAACCCTAGGGAACTCCAAGGCCTGCAGTCGGCTGCATACTACAATATGCCTGGACAAACACCTCATGGTGCGTATCTACCATCTCACACAGGTCACACCTCATTTAATGCAGCTCCAGCACAATCCTCTCACATCCAATTCCCAGGATTGTACCACCCTCCCCCCCAGCCTGCTGCAATGGGAAATCCCCATCATCTGGGTCCTGCCATGGGTGCAAATGTTGGTGTTGGGGTTGCTCCAGCTGCTCCTGGGGCACAAGTTGGTGCTTACCAACAGCCCCAATTGGGTCATCTTAACTGGACAACAAACTTCTGAAGAAACTATCTAGCTAACCTTTCTGCGTGTCAAGAGATTGCTAGTTACAGAAAATTTTAGTTTTGCTAAATAACAGCAATCTTTTCAATTAAATGGGCATTATTTGGTGTTTTATATACCTTTCATTTTGAATTCCTTAGCATTATCAATTGAATAGTATCAATCCTAGTTCATGGCAGGAATGCATTTACTCATGTCTTACGTTTTTTTTTTTTTTTTCCTGGTATGTTGGATGATGGGTTATATAATTTCAGAGATCTTTATCATGAGATTTTTATTTTTTATTTTTTTATCTTGGTTGCATGATAGGAGGCAATCATCTTTCATCCATTATCTCATTCTACTCGTATGTCATGCGATTCGAAATCAAGATTTTTTATTTCCAATAGAAGAAGATATCATTGAGTTACTTAGATCGTTGGTTCTATCATAAGAATTTAAATTCTTAATCATTAAGATTTAAACTTTTAATTATTAAGATGTCTATTTGGAGACTTTTGTCTCTTGTTTTCCTTACTTTGGGGATAAAGAGGATAATGCTCGTTTAGTTCACAGAAAATGATTTCCTAGAGATTAGGCAACACAACACAATAAATATATTGATGAGAAACTAAATACATAGGTAATGGCTGTTCCTCAAGTAAATAAACTTAAGCTAGTGGGAAGGGAATGGTTTTTTTGCCCAAGTTCTCCTTTGGAAATAATGTATGCGTGCTCATGAATAAAGTTTACCTACAAGTTCTAGGAAATCATTTCTATGAACCAATCCTGCTTTATGATTCTTTTCGTTTTCAAATTTTGATCCTCCTCCTCCTATACACTTGTAAGTCATATATAAATTATAGGCGGTTGATTTTACAATTATTATAATGGTTGAAATGATGATTCTATATTTAGTAGTATCACTTCAAATGATAGATTGTAAAAATTACTAATAATTTTATGTAAGATTTACGCATGTAATTGGATTCTATCTTCATAACCGTCATCTATGGTTTTTTCAGGAAAACTGTTTAACTACTTCCAACAAGTACTGTACGTATTTCATTTTCTCGATAAGTGGCTGCAAAAATGTCCTTATTCCCTGAGGAAAGAGAAGAGAAGGAATAACTTTCAGTAGCATGAACTACTTTAGTGGTGGATCCATACATGTGCCAATGCTTCTTTTCCACTTTACTATTACTTCTCTTTACCAGTCTACTGTTACATAGGATAGGTGTTGTTATTTTTGTTGGTGTTTTCTTTATAGAGGAAAGATCAAAGAAGGGTAGACATCTTATTGTGAATCGGCCTGTCTTTTGATGTGTGTGTTTTTCAGCTTTCCTCCTTGGGATCGCAGAAACATTTTTTTTATATGTTTCATGCCCCTACCTGAGTCTCGGATGCTCAGACTCACAGGACGCACCCATTCAAGCTGAGCATGACGTTTCCCCTTTTTCTTCTCTCTTCTCCTTTTAATATTTCTCATGCACGAAGAAACCTCCTTTATGCTTTTATTTATCTCCTGCCAAAGCCTCTGTGGTTCTTCCATGTGAATTCAAATTTCGAGTTTCTAATTAACACGCTGTTGCCGTGAACAAACTTTTCAATGTCATATATATTGCGTACATTTGAAGCCCCACTCCAGTCATCACAAGGTCTTCTCAAATTTTGTAGTTTGAAAACAGAGAAGATTATCTTCTAGAGTATAACTCTGGCTAAATTTAATAGCTTTTTAGTTATTTTAAAATTTGAAGAGCTAAAACTTTAAAATTACATCATGCTAATAATTAGTTAAAGGCAAAACTCTACGTTAAGTCTCAGCATTTATTCTAGATTTTTTATTAAGGTTCTAAACTTTTATTAAAATAAATAAACTCTTAATTTTAATGATCTTGACAATTTAACTCTCTTTTTTTAGTGTGGACTTAATATTCATTTATATCTTGCTTACATGAATAAAGTATTGATATGTTATTATTTATATGGTGAGTATTGACCTTTTTTTTACATAAGAAAGACACAAATGGATGTTATGTATGTTGTAAGGAAAATAGTTAAATTATCAAATCAATAAGTTTAGAGACTTATCTACTTTATTAAAAGTATAAGGACTTAGTTGAGAATATGGGCTTAATTTAATTTTTAGTCTATTAACTATCACCTTGATTTCATTTTAGTCTAGAAACTATGTTTTATTTCTAAGTGGTCTATTAATTTTCAGATTCATTTTAATTTCGTCTACTTGGTCAAAGATAGCCAAACACTTACTATTCTGTTAGAGAACAGTTAATCCTCTGACTATATTTTTTTGATATTTTAGTCCTTAAATTTATATTTGTTATAAAAATAGGTTTTTTACTTAAAATTATTATTCATAGGATTTGATAGCAGATTTTTATACTGGTTTTCCTATTTCTTTAATTTGGTTTCAGAGCCTGAAAGTTAATAGACCACTTAAAAATAATAATTTTAAGTATAAAAATCTGGTATCAGAGCCTAAAAATAATAATTTTAAGTATAAAAGCTATTTTTATAACAAATATAAATTTGAGGATTAAAAGATAAAAAAAAATATAGTTAGAGGATTAACTGTTCTCTAACAGAATAGGAAATTTTCTGTTATCTTTGACCAAATAGACGAAATTGAAATGAATTTGAAAGTTAATAGACCACTTAGAAATAAAACATAGTTTCTAGACTAAAATGAAATCAAGGTGATAGTTAATAGACTAAAAATTGAATTAAGCCGAGAATATGAGAATAGTTAAAAAGTTTAATGTAGGGTTTTGCCTTACTTAAATTGAGGAGATTTTAAGTAGTGATGAGTTATATACTCCATCTCACCTTTGGTGGTTGAAAAAAAAAAAAAAGAAAAGGATGAAGATGGGCTAAAGCAATCTAGCTGGGGTTTAAAGAAGAGCAAAGGAATGATGGAAGAACGGAAGAATGGCCCCTTTATCTCATCCTTTTCACATGGGATCTATCATCTTAATACTCTTTTCTCCTACTGTAATTGATGGATCGATGTGGATTTCCATCCATTTTGGAAGCCTCTAAAACATCAAATTATGACATACAAAATCCTCACACAACACGTTCTCTCATGGGATTCATGTGGAGGACACACAATCAGGCATTTCTTTAAAATATTTGTTTTACCCAATTTTGATTGGGTTGCACCAAACTACACAACTTTGTTTACCAAAAAAATAAAATAATTAAAAAAAAATACTAAATGGACTCTAAATCTCCAATATATTATTAGTTCTTTATATATATATATCAAATAATGAATTATATAATAAAAAATAATTATTTTCTTTCCTTAATCCTTCTTTATCCGTCTTAAAATTTAAACTCAATATTTTTTTATTTAGAGTTTCAAACTTTTAATCATTTCAAACATTCCTTAATAATACTCACGAGTGAGAAGATGAATTGGTAGAGAACACTTTCAGTTTAACTAATGATCTTGATTTTAAGCCTTGAAAATGCAGTTCCGTTAAAACTCGTGAAGGAGAGTTTTGTCGCTTATTGAGTTCTACCTGACTTGAATCCAGATTAGTTGGTAACTCAATGGACCTCTAGATACTGAGTGATTCATAAAAAAAAAAAAAAACATTCCTTAATAACAATATATATTATTATTTTTACATATAGTACTGCTTCATGTATATATTTAGGAATGTGTATACATATCACGAGCGCATACATGAAAAGTAACCTCCATCCGATTTATGCTAGACAACCTTATTGTAACTTTAATATGCAATGGGACAATCTTGCTAATATGCTCCTGATGGATAATAGTTTGATGTAATCGGATATATTGGACACACAAATGTACCCAATTATGGCTAGTTGCATATGCATTTTGGCATTCACACTTATAATGTTCTAGGAAACAAAGCATAGTGACATGTCAAATCTTATGGGAAATGGATGGTGGAATCTTCATTCATATCCGGGAATTATATCTTTTGATCTAGGGTAGTGGGAAATTCGGTGAGCTACTTTTTCCCGGTTAAGGCGTGTCAATTAAAGGCAGGTGACTTCACAATTAAAATGCAGTCCATTTGTTGATTTATTTTCTTGTAGATAGAGGTATGCATGCTGCCATACCTACCTCGAAGGTAATCGTTGTGCCAAGAATATTGGCTTTCATCTTGAACCTAGGAAGTCAGTCTGAAGCCTACAACAACATTTTGCTACCAAACTGTTCATTGACTAGATCCATGTGTTCTTGCAAGACAGACTCGAGGAGGGGTTTTAAGATAAACACTCTATTGTTTAAATTAATAATGTTTTAGTGATGAAAAATCTAAAGTGAGAAGTTTTTAAGTATAGACCGTATATCTAATGTAAAGAGATAAAATATCAATTATAATTATCTTTTGAATGAGGTCATTAAGGTGTATTTATAGTTTATAAGATATGACATATTATCATATAATAATATCTTGTTGGATCAACTGTCATATATTTATAAATTGAATTTTTAGTTAAAACTTACAAAACTTGACCTTATAAATTTTAAAGACCCAATTTAAAGTGTTGGATTATTATCCTAGCACTATATATATGATTTGTCAACAGTAATATGTCTTGATTCAAATTAAAATTAAAAATTTAAATATATGTAATAATTAAACACTCAACTCTCTAAACTTAAAAAAATCTAAAAAAGAAGGTCAAAACTTAGAAGCGCGTAAATAAAGGTCAAATGACTACCATATTAGAAGTTGGATTTCATTAAGACAAAATTGATGATCAGAACGGTATGAATGTATCTAAAGAAATGGACCGTTTAGTGGATTAAATATTTGGTTAGATCAGAGGCAATTAATGTTCAGTTACAGTGACAACCACATAATTATGTAGCATGTTCTCTAGGTAAAGGAAATCTGATCATCTTTGTGTAAATCATAGCAAGTAATCATAATAAAATTGCCTTTTCTTTTCATTCCCTGTTCACCATATCACCTGCATTTATACTTTCTCTTTGCCGATTTGCTTGTGTAATGGGGAGGGTTTTCATATCATCTCTCCCTATTATAATGATATATAATCCCATAGCTCATTCCAAATCCAGAGGAGACACAACAGACATTTAGTAAATTACATTATGAGAGGAAAAAAAAAAATACAAAGTTGAATCAAGTTAGGTTGTCTGAATGTGTTAGAAGTCAAAGGACAAGCAGCTTTAATGTTGTTCATCAGAGTGTCTGAATGTCTCAGAAGTCAAAGAATCCATAGAGCCGCATTAGTTGACTGTTGATCCAATATTATTAGCCTGTAGGAATCATGCTTTGCTAACATAATTCACTGCATTTTATGGTGGGTGTGGTGCTCCAAATTAATACAGTTTGGTCCCGATATCCCATGGTCCTTACCTAAAAAAATCTTCACCTTATTATATATTACAGATTAAAGTAGGAGTTCAAAACTTAGGTAGACATTCTCCCTTGAGAAGTAATAAGTTACAAATCCCTCACCCTTAGTGTTTATCTGGTTAGGGAGTTACTTTGTTAAGAAAGCTTTTAGTTGAAAATGATTAAAAAATATTGCATGAAAAATTATTAAATTTTATAATAAA